CGTTCTCTTCGTTATCACGCACGACCTTTGCAGATTTAAAACCAAGCAGATTTTCCCGTGCTCTGCAGGAGAAGGGCCATTATGTGACCACGCCATCGCGAGGTCCGAAGCTGTCATGCTTGCCGAGTGAAAAGATGTAGCACGCAAAGCTTTTCAATGGAGAAAAAGATCCAGTCGGCATACTCTTGAATAAGACCGTCTGTTATATAGTTGAGGATGGGGACGTCGTCTGTGGGCTGCGATCCAGAACTCATTCGTCCATCCTATTATCGAGCTCACCACTATCAAAACTCTTCCACAGGAGAAAGGAGCATGCTACATCCTTGTTCCTTCAAATATTACAAACTGCAAAAACGAGTCCCGGTTACTCTCAGTAGGGATCTGCTAAGAGGGAAGAACAACTATACCTTGAATTACGGATATCGCCACAGTATAGAGGGCAAATCTGAATTCCAAGGAATGGAAAACCGTCGCATGGCCAGTATTTCAGTGAATAGCCTTTTCGTATAAAGCAGAATACGTTTCCTGTCTTTTGGACAGAATAGACTTATTAGACGAAAACCAGAGGGATGAAACGGCCAGTGACTTACCTGGCCTGATAACCACATCGTGTTACCAGGAGGCTGAACCGGCACACTATTAGGCGAAGATTGTTATGATGGTGTTGACGACTTTTTGTGAAAAACATTGACATACCTGGATGAGACATGATGTTTATACCACACATGGCCATATGCGAGTAGATTTTTCTCACCTTGGTGATATTACGATGGGGAGAAAGTCTGGTAGCATAGTCTTAAAGACGTACCATCTGCTATCATGAACACGACTGTGGACGTCATCCATAGGTTAGAAACTCATCCATAACATAGTTGGATTCTCTGGGGAGAACGGAGCGCAGTTATAGATGACTGACAAGTATGCGTCGCGCAGTTGTGAGGAGGGATCTATTTAAAGGGAGGGATTTAACTGTACCTCGACGTATGGATACGGTCACAGTTTCCGCCGGGGTCGTACTGAGTGATGAATGTGTTGCACTACAATAGCATGCCGTATCTTTCAACAGTCGCCAGAGCACGGTATGGACATCATTAGGATAAGAGCACAACCAACGGATACTGATATGTTCAGAAAGATGGCGAGTTGGCAAGCTTTGGAAAGAAACTGGAGGGTAATTCCAAGGGAACGAGAGCAGACTTGATGCATTATTAGGTGTGTAGGAAAAAGAGGTAGAATAAGTGCTTCGCACGGAAGAGTGTGTGTTTATCCGTAGGGAGATGTCGAATGAGACGGATGCCCAGATCCAGGTTTCCAAGACACGCGAAACAGGAACCTGCTTCACAAACACAGTCCATATTTGTGTCATCTACGGAGATTCTCAAAGCTCGTGGAAGGAGAGATGCAGACTTTCTGTGACCATGCGGAGGTTCCGTTGAGGTTGGAAAAAGAAGAGTAAGCACGCTGAAATTTGAAATTACTAACATCGGCAATGTACGGGCCGGGACCGGTGCCTCTAAATGACTTCTGCTTGCGTGGTCGAAGGCCGCCCCCAGCCTCGTCGCTCAACCAAAAGATATACTGACTGGTTCCGTTCTTCCAAAAACCGAGCCCATTTCCCAGACTTCGTTCCTCAAACTCACCATAATCGGCATTGAAAAATATGCTGTTACAAAGCACTCGCATGGCCAATGAGTGGATTCGAACCACTGTACCCTTCGATTTTACTCTTGACCTAAGGGGTTGACATATCTTCCCAGCAAAACGAAATTATAGAAATTAACAGATAGACGCAGTTTTTATTGTTGCAAAAAAGTCTTATGTACATATCAAATTCCCATTTGTTTGCTATGAATTCCCCGAACTATTATTTCACTCTCCCACAAACAATACAGAAAAAACGAGTTTCGCACCTTAAAAAAAGGCATACACATTGCCCATAATTACCAATAGACGGACCCGAACCATACCACTGGTAGGAGGTCCAACAACCAATGATGGTAGCAATGGAAGAAGACCGTGCTTCTAGGCGAACCAGACCTTTGCGAAACCGTTAGGGTAAACGGAGAGGTCCAATCAGCATCTTTCGGGAGGGGTGACAATACAATTCTGCCTAGCACAAAAAAGTAAGGTGCTTTACGCAATGACGATCTACCAACCCCGGGATTCGAACCACGCCGCTTGTAGAATCCCACTACTGATCGACGATGGCAGGCGAAAAAAGGTTCTTGCAGGAGGCCTATAGTATGTCGCAGGAAGTTTGAGCATTGATGAGATCTTGCACAGCTCAACATCAATGCCAAGGGACACGGCTGTATGCGTGCCATGGCAGAGAGACCTAGAATGAAATTGCGAAGCGCATTTAGTACGATGTATTATGCACTGCACACTGCGGATACGGCAATTTCTAACATAGCGAGCACCTTGGTTAGGCTCTCTATAAAATGTCCTCAGGTATTTTGTTTTGATTGGCTACTGAGTACGGATGCGTCAACATCATATGATCGTTCGCATGAAATCACAGGCACCAAGTATGGATTTATGCGTCGAAGATACTCTCCCTACCTTCACGACATTGCAATGGAAAAAAACCTCTCCTTGACCGACAAGAGAGTCATCATCTCTTACAGTCAACTAATCGCCGCAACGCGGAATAGAACCACGGTCATCCCAACGCACAGCTGTTCGTTCCATCAAATTGGGCTTCCATTGATCTACAGTGGCTGAAGGGATATAAAATGCACGCGAAAAGTCGAGATAGTTGATTACCAGAGAGCAGTTATGTTGTACAATCGAGAGAAGGAGAACAGTTCTTATTCAAACTAGAAAGAAAACCTATTCTGTAAGTACGGAACAGCAAGGAGGAACCAAGGATGTTGATGAAGACCGGGAGTTAGTAATTAGCATGGTAAATCGATAACAGGTCTTTGGAATGGACTGTATGCGGAAGAACACCGATAGGTGGATCAGAGTGCCCAACACGATTGTTTCACCACCTCAATGGCGGAAATATACCTGCCGTATGGCTCTAGAAGAATGGAAATTACTCAGCATAACATGGGATCCCAGAAACGTTCGCTCACTGGGTAGTCAGCTCTGAGAAACTGACATGTAACCAATATTCTGGACGTCCTTACTCGGGAAAGATGCTTGACAATACTTCGACGAGGGCGGGAATGAGGGCAAGCTTTCTGACGCGACGTCAGGCGCATTGAATGGTTAAGGGAAAGTGGAAGTTCACCTTAAGAATAGATACAAGGTCGAGCATCTCGCATTTAGGGCAACCACCGCCGCAATGCGGTGAGACGAGAAGGACTGAGGAAAGGCCGCGGATCACCTACCCAGAAATGATGAAGCGACGGGATCATGGACGCTGGTGTGTGTGTGTGATGATTGTCATCTACATAGAAATCGGGAAGAAGAAAGCTGATAGATAGACAATTACTCACCGTCACGACACCTATTCATAACTCTCCAGGGCCAATTCCGAACCCGAGTGGATCCAATAAGGGCTGCCGTTCGGCCCTTCTGTGCCTGGAAACATAGGATATGCCGGGGCTCGACATAAAAGACATCCTGTCATACGCATCTAGTAAGAACCAGGGACTGTTACGCGATTAGGGTGCATTGAACCGAGGATTGGAGACCTAAGGGTACTGCGCCAGACGTGGAACGTTGAGGTGTGACTAGTGACTATCAGAATATTAGCCGCATATAGTCGGAAATCAAGACTGGGAGAGAGAATACTTGCTGATCGGGAAGCCCAAGGCACGCGACGGTGAAGTGCAGGGTTATAGGGCCGTCGTCTCCAGATAAATCGCACGGGTTCATTCAGTGTACTTGACAATCAGCTTATAGCTAGCATCAACAACAGAGAGAGTAGATGGACAGATAGAAACTCACTAGCACGACATTCAGTCATATTCCCCTAAGTCCCTGATGCTCGTAGAATGGTGGATTCAGTATTGTTGCTATCCTCCCCCGATGAAAGCGTTTTGGGCCAGAGCGGTTGACGAGCGAGAGGCGACATCACTGATGCTGAGCGTGTTGGGCGAAAAGAAGAGGGTTGTCGGCATTTGAAATTCCCAAAATCGTCAATTCAAGCGCCCGGACCGACCATTGCCGGACACCAACATTACGAACTGCCAGAATAACATGAAATACGAAATGTACTGCATTCATTTCAGCAGGAAATACCCTCCGCGTACCTCGATTTTCAAAGATGGAACGACACCCTAGATAATGTTCAAAAGTCCACTCCCAAAAATAAAATACGAGAATACTTAAACTGATTCAGGACTGTCAACCAGTGGATTCGAACCATCGTGCTTCTGGGAATGTAGCAGTTCATCCTCAGGACCAACATTGAATGATGTCTCTCATAAATATACACCAGATACCTGTTTAGGAATAAAATTTGCGACCGCCGCCCGGTATTGAGACTGAGGGCAAGGGAGATTGTCTTGCGACAAGCACCTAGCAGTTATACTGCGAACAGCCAGTCAGAAGAGATCTTTCAAGGTCATGTCACTTCATTCCACGAAAGACAAGTGGAAATCAAATCACCGCATTTTTCAGACCACCGAAGATCAAAGGAAATTAATAGATGGGGCAACGGACCCACGGTGGCTGAGGAATGGACTTGGGACGTGTTTTATGGGGAAGGGCTTTTATTCTCGGTATACGCCCCGTTAATTCACCTCTTTATGTTCTATAAACGTATCCCTAGTCGAACAAGATACGAAAGGCGATTTGTGCGTAAACAGAAAATAAAAATGACCAGAATGTTCTGTGCCACCCAAATGCTTCATGACGTCCTTCCGAGGAGACATTTTTAAAAAACGTGGCCCATCAATTTCTGATTGTGGCTGTACCTCTTGCCGTGTTCATTACCGTCGATGATACGCCAAGTTGCGAGATGCGGTCCACAACGCACAGCTGACGGTTCTAAAAATCTCTTGAACATCAGGCTAAGCATCCAAAACTTGAAGTTGAACTCGATCATGTCACACTCGCAAACGCAAACACAATTTGAGGAACGCAACTATAATTTATTGAAACGCATGCAGATCAACGCACACGCAAATGCAGAGACAAGCTCGCAAGGGTAACTCGCAAAATTCTACATGCCCGTTTGCCAAAGCCAAGTCAGTATTTGGCTAAGTTAACGCACTGAACAAGACAGTACCTGAAGCTTCACCCGTAGATAAGATCGTCTCCACGTTTGCGCATATCCAGACAGCAGCTTAGATGGGTCTGCGGTGCACGAGATCGAAGATGATGGTCGAGGCGTGGTTCCGTGTCAAAAAAAAGTCTCAGCAACCTTCATCAGACGAGTAGTAGGCGACGATGGTATACTTATACTACAGTACGAACGTCATATCAGACAATGGCAGGGGAGGCTTAGGTTTTCCTGACTCGCCTGTAGTCAAGCCATCCCAGCCGGACTCGACCTCGGTACCATTTGCGAGGCACTTGAAGGATTACGTGTCTCGTATGAGTTGTTGGACAGACGATATTCACAGGAGCAAGAGATAGGTATGTGCGAGATGGAACCGTGAAGCGAAAGCGTAGTGAAGGAAGGAAAAGAAGAAAGGAAAGTTACCCCAGGTCGGACCCTCGATTACGGTGGCTGTGCCCCGGGCACGGGCCCGCGACGCGTCACTGTCAGGACTTACGGAGCTTTGGCACGTTCTGTTTGTGTTGATTTGGCATCCTCCGAATTCCTGACCGTTCCCCGCTGTATTCCCTCGATGATCAACAAGCCGCCAGCTATCCCCCATATTTTGACTGCTATTCCATACCGATAGACAACTTCGGATGAGCGCTTTGCTATTGTTCTTGAGCCGTTCAAGGCCAGTCCGGATCTTCGCCTTGAGCGCTCTGACTGAGCAGGATACTGGTAGTCGTCAGATGCGTAGCTCACCATTATGATAAGGCCATCTCTATCCATAAACATGTAGCTATAGAAACTACTTCCCGCTGTTTTCTGGTCGTGACATCGTGGGATTCGCAGGTCCAACTTTCGTCACCCTCCATGGAAGGACAATCTATGGTAGAGAATGAATCCGAGAAGACAAGGAGGCGCCTTCTCGATAGTCCTGCGAAGGACGCGTAGCAGTCGATGGGCTGCTTTTTCGAGTTTCATAGAAGACGACAGCTAGCTGACATGGAGGCGGAGATCCGGCAGGTAAGCAAAATTTCGCTTGTCGCCCTCGCTCAGTCTTCAAGGAAAAGAAACCACAAGCGAAGAATGACGAACCTCTTCATATCTGCTCGGATCTCAAGAAAGATATAATCCCAGATTTGTCGCCGGTCCTTGCAGAAACATATGGACGGAGTGAATGCAGGTAAGTCCATGAACATGTTACTCTTCTCTACAAACTAAGAACTCAGAGTTCAGGCACGATTGCGGGGGTTCAACGTTCAAGTTCTGGCATTACAGGACGTCTTGCTTCGACGGCAATAAGCGAGAACACCACATTTTGAACGACGAGCAGGATTATGAGCTTGAGTAATGGTGAAGCCCGGCGCTCTCAGTGGAGCTATCATGACACGATCTGTCGTCCGTCGTAAAGTTTCTCCTCTTTCCGCATAAACAAATTTTATTTGCAGTTCTTAATAAACAACACAAGCGGTACCTTCGTCGTCATGTCCATGCCATCCTCGAGTCCAAGTTTCAGTACGATGAGAACGGCACGACGGAAGGCGTCTTTGCTGCCGATGTTAGATGTCGTCGTTGGTAGATCCTGACGCTATGTCCTGGGACTATTCCTTGTTATCGCTTGTACTTGTACTTATAACACTAGATCCTTCTTCATCGACACCTATGATTGTACGGTACCTCAAGAAACTTCCATAGCCAATACTTCCTCCCGAATACATGTTCTCTCCGGTTCTGACAAAAATCACGACCGATCTTCACTAATACCACCCTGGCTTAGCCGTAGTTTCCCATCTATGTGACGGTTCGACTCCGCCTAATGGTACTAGCTTTTGTTCTTCCTTTCGGTGCATTTTAATCAGACATTACTATGCCAACCGGCGTGTCCGCACTGTTAATTTTGTCCTGAAGTCCAGCACGCACATGTATAGAACGCCCATTTGCTGGTGATGAGAATTCCGATGTCTACGTCCCCGAACCACTGTTTTGAAGAGTGCGAGAATGAAGGCTCCATTCGAGTCGAAACGTACGCTCTCTTCTTGTTCATCTCACAGCGGAGCAGCACACGTCCACAGTTTGATTCCGTAGTCAGCTCTGATCAATCACAGGAGGATCTACTCGTGATTATCACAAATTATTACAGCGTTTCCTTTCCTATCAAAGGTTAGAAATACAAGATTCTGTTATGGATCTGCCGAAATCCGGATATGCTAGCACGAGGCAAGGAGCAGTGATCGGAGCCAGGTAAGATTAATTAGAAGTGATGTACGTCGTTAGGGAATATAATGGATTCCGGCGAGGGTTCGTGAGGAGACCTGAGTGGTCCGGTTTGCGAAATAAAGAGATCAGCAAGCGCGAAGCAATTACTGAGGGAAGTAGCCGGTAAGTGCGGAGCAATTACCGATATAGAAGGCCTGTAAGCGCGAAGCTATTACGGGCCGTGGGTGAAGGCAAGCGCTAAGCGTAACCTTCGGGTTGGTATTGGAAAGCGCTAGGCGTATCCAATGGGTTGTTCAGCAAGCGCTAGGCGTAACTGAGGGTTCATGCAGTGTGAGGGTACTGGAAGTAGTAGATTGATCAAAGCTTTTCTAATACAATGTTATCTACAAGTTTATATACTAAGGAAATGTTCGAGTCATTATTATTCTACAATGTTCTATAATATTCTAGTATCAATACGAAGAATAGAGAAAGTAAGAGAAAGTACGAGCGAGTCACTACTAGGACCGAGAAGGCCGAGTTCGGGCATGTGTTGACTCATGCACCGAATCAGTGGATACCCAATATCCATAACAGATTCGGAACTCTGGCTACAAAGCATTATAGACGATCCGGAAACCGTCAAGGAATGCAGCGGTTCGATTCCACTGGGCTTACTTACCGAGAAAGAATCAATGTTTTTTCGTGCATCCTCGCAGTCCTACCTTTTCTATCAGGCAGAAAACAAGGAAACGCAGCTCTCCCTACTCGGATTGATAACGTATGCGTCATTCTCCTCCTCTGCTCTGGATTCTGAGCTATCGCGTCAAAATAGATCAAGGGCATATGAAGCAGGCTGCTCATGGTTCGATTCCGTGGGTCAGCTCATCATTGTTAACAGAACCGTTTTTTTCTCAGTTCTTTGTAGAGGATATTGCTTGATTGAGAGATATCGATAAGCTAATTAATACACCCTCATAGATCAGCGGGACGGCTAGATCTAAGGCATCGGTTCGCCCGATAAAGAGAGCCACGACATCTCGAGACCATCCCGTTCAAGCATACTGGTCTATGGTCAACTCCCGATGAGCTGATTGTAAACAGTCCGATTCTCTTTCGTGTTGAGGGCGTGTTCCCAACCATGGGTTCCACCTACGTGAACATTCGACTAATTTAACAGGTGCTATAGATCAATGGCCGGTCCACCCTGTCTAGATCACGGTTCGATTCCGTGTAGTAGCACTTAGTCCCAAGGATTGAAATGTTCTTTTGGGGTCAAATACATAACATCTTATCCTTTTTCTTGGTCAATGTTGTTCTTGTGCGAGCAGTGATCTGCGTGCTTAAACTTTACGTTCCCTATACGAAGGGAGATATAGCAAGCGCTTGCAAGTCTCTCTCACCAGTTCAATATTAAGCGAGACGGTGCTGAGTTTCTCTCTGGAATCGATAGAGTAGGATAGGCTTGCTGCAGAGTGCCTTTTTACCTTCCATCATCGTTCAGTTGTAGAATTAATTCTACACGTAGGACAGTTCGAGACCCCCGATTGGCAGGTAATAAGCCTTCCGCAAAATGTCTTTTTAGTTGTCGATATCCCCTCCTGTGAGGGAAAGGCTGACTTTATTTTTAGGCTATTCATCCCTTGGGAAGTTTCCTAAAGGAATCGTACCTCCATGCATTGTTGAAGCCATGCTGAACGGGACCTGCTATTTATAGCTATCTCTTTCAGGAGATTTCATTATTTGTGCTGCATAGAAGTTGAAATGTGACAATACTGTCACCATCGTCGCTCAGTGGTAGGCTGCCAAAGACCCCGGTTCAAGTCTGGGAGATGGTCCTGTTTGTATGTATTCCATGTCATCAGCATACGTTTTGGTTGGACTCGCAGGGATCAATAGCGGTTCCGGAGCCGGAGACCTTAAGGGCCGGTACGGAGAATTGATTGCCGGACGCGGCTTCTCTTCTCCCTCACTCTAAACCAACACAGTCAAGCTGGGCTCTAAGCCAATCACCCTCTCGCTCGACCAGCTATTCTTCCTTGACGTCATGAAGAGCTCAGATGTTGACTTTTGGTCCGCAAGTGTTGTGCACCTGTGCTCGTGAGATTGTACCTATCCGTGGATTTTACTCGTTATTAACCCGATTTTAGTGCGAAAGTACCGCTCGAAGACCGACGCGGATGGTGCCCTATTACCTCATCATCCCCCGGCATGCTATCGCAAGACTCGGAATCAGGATCATCCCTTCCCGCTGGGGCTATGACGTAGACGTGTAGTGTTCCTTCACGGGAGTTAGCACAGAACGGTCAGTTCAGGTTCGATCCAAATATGTATGGAGGACGACGAAAGCCATGATTGAGTACGATCAGTTGGTGCTGGTGAGCCGCTGCCTATCTAGCTTTGCTTGCTGCTGATGTTCATTAGGTGTCGAGCTTCTAGCGGCGTCGTTGCATTTATCTTCCTCTGTGACTGCTCAATGGCTCTTCGCCAACGCGTCAACGCGTACAGGACTTGCTCCATCCCGTCATCCCATCAGACATAATAACTCAGTCTCCCTCCCGTCTTTCTGTTTTCCGCTTCATCGGGGCCTCAGATCCAGACTCGCGCATGCTCTTTCCTAGAGTGTCGTCATGTTATCCTGGTCTAGTCTGTTCCATCTTCTTTTTTCCTTTCCGGCATGCCTACCATGTCAGTCTGCCTTTCTGTGTGCTACTTTAGCCCTCTTCTCGCCCGCCGAGGTAAGATAATGCTCTTTTCGTTGTGTTCTGGTGTAATTAATCCGCTCTCAGCAGATGTAGAAATGCTATCGCATGTCCACCTAACATCGATCCAGAAACCCGGTCCAATTCGGTAGCCAGGGTAACATCGCCGATTTCAAAATGTGGCGGATCTTTATCTCAACGTTACAATGCCTGGCGCATCATCCTCAGGACTCCGATTCACGTTAGTTGTACCTTCGTCTCGTTGAATTTGTTTTACTGATAGTCCTCGTTAAGTCCGGCTTTCAACAACTTCATCCATGGTGTGTATTTGTATTCTTCTGCGCTCCTGGGTTTGGGATTGAGAAGTATTCGTAGCAGAGATCTATGGCTAGATGTTGTACTGGTAAGAAATCGCGTATCTCTCGACTTTTCTTCTTACTTATATTCAATTAGACGCCGAGCGTCGTCAACGGGCCCTCCCTCCGTCCTGACCTATCACGTCCCAACTCGGGAATACCTTGTATCCATCGCTTCATTGTCACGTCCGCCCGAGACTTCACTTATAGTAAGCAGCCAAAAAAGCGCATGTTCGGCCGTTATACCCATGATCTTGACAGATATTCCTTGTCTTTCTACCAACATAGCGATGATCTACTGTTGGTTAAGTGATATTCGTGATGCAGTGTTTATTTGTCTCGTAAATGAGGGTTTTCCTATTCTAGGCCCTTCCGGTAGGAAATGCAGTGCATTTATTCAATTGTCTGTTAAGCTACCATAGATTAACGGATGCTCAGTCCCACCTCTTGGCGAAGATCATCGCGGTTCGATTCCCCACCGTGTATCGAGCTGTATGTGTATACCGAAAATTCACATGCAAAATGACAATGCTGTGGCTCGATTCCGCATTTTTCCGTACATTCGATCCTTGTTAGGGAAAGAAGAGACAGTGTACTGAGGGTAGTAGAATCCTATTAGCGTCTGTGTCTTTTCTTCGGAACTCGAAGTGTCTTGAAATGCAAGTAGGAATAGTACCGCTGTGGATCAAAGCAGCTCGTTCTCATGAACTTCTTCCTAATATGAAGAAGAGATTTCAATTTCATCCCTGAGATTGTAAAATCTGTAGGGATCTATTATAGAACGAGTATTCTAGATTTGACCGAAGGACGTCAGATAAATTTGGGTACTCGTTCGTGTATGGATTCGAACCTCTGACCCCTCTGAACTACCGCAAAAAAACGGAATACCGATTCACACCAAGCAGGCGGTGCCACTACAGCACCTGCCTGCACAAAATATGGGGTGTTCCTGGTTTATTCCCGTGAGGTGAGGCCTCTAACCAGCGCGGGGTCATGGTGCTTTATGTCAACCCAAGTATTCTGTTAATATCATCATTCTCGTTCAAATCGATCTGTACAAACAGCAGGTCGAATTCAATCCTGAACTTACCCATCCAGAAATCGTAATTCTTCGTATTAACCAAGGTATCTGACTGTTATAGATCTGGGATCTGAGCGACGAAGATTCGGAGACGGCTGGAGAGCTTTGGTGGGACTCTGGTCACGGTGAGTTGTTGCATATATGCCTGCTTTTTGTCTGCTGACGTCGATTAGATCCCGGAGGCTGCATCAACTTTGGACGGTTTTCATGGCGTGATAAAGACCGAGGGTTGGAGAGAACAAGTGGTTCGGCAGTGCCATTGACGACACAAGGAGGATCTGGTAACCCGACACCGTGCAGATCCTCGCCTTCGAAGGAACGAATCCTCCCTCTTACCCGTTCCATAACCGTGCCTGGTTGTGCCCAAGTCCCCGGTCCTAACCCAGCCTACAGTGAACCGTAGCGGGTCGCCGATAGAGTCCGATGGTAAGA